CATTGAAAGCCCAGAAACTCCAAGAGGAATTAGCCTCAGGAAAATTAGTAGAACAGGCTGTAAGTAATAAAAATGGTAATAAAAAATGTTAAAACTCTTTTAAATAAAGAAATGAAAATTAAAACAAGAATGCATTTTATATCTTTTCACTTAGAAAAGGCAGAGAGAAATACTATAGAGAGGAAAGAGTAAAACTGACACTTTTTGTGTGGTTCACAGTATAAATTGACGCAATCAATTTGGGGAGAATATTGCTATAAAATATATAAATGTATATATGTACATACACACTTTTCCTGTAATTAAATTATTAGATTTATCCATCCTAAGGAATTTTCTAGAATTTAGAAAAAATGTTATGCACAAAGATGTGGCAGCATTTTTTATAACAGTAAAGAAATTGAAATAGCTTAAATGTCCAGGAACAGAGAATTGGTTAAGTAAGCCCTTGTGCATCTGCATGATACAGTGTTGCTTAGCTCTTAAAGTGCCATTTCTCAAGACTTCATTAACACTGGATAACACTTATATTTTAGTGATACGTGAACAAATATTATATCGCACAAAAAAAAAGACCAGAATACCAGTTTTCATTTAATGTAGAATTAGTGACTTTTTCTTATCTTTTTCTGTAGTATTTTTCATATGTTTACAATGAATATGTGCTAATTTTACAGCTGGGCAAAAAATTTTCATGTGAATAAAAAGTCTATTATAGCCAGTTTGTCTTTCTCTTTAAAAATTCTTACTAACTTAGTAGAGTAAATATATTATGCATATTAGAGTTGTAAAAGTTTCTTTTTAACAAATTTTTGGCACAAATAAATAAGCATTTAGAGTTTTCAAGTTTAAATTTGTAAAAGGATTGCTCAGCATGTGTGTGTTACAAACTCAAAGTAATTACCAAGTAAGCAGTTACTGAGGTAACCTATTAGTCAGGTTAAGAGCAGAAGTTACCAGACAGGTATCTAAAATCCAGCTCTGCTCCTGGTTAATTTGCCTGTTTGAGTCTCTGCTTATCATGTCTGAAATAGAGATGACAACACCTATCCCCAGGAGGCTCATATACACATCCCATAGTAAACACTTGGTAATTGGTAGCTATTATTGTGATTATTGTTAATTATTACCGTCTCTGAAAAAAGGAGAAGGGCCTGTTTCTACTTTTTTCTTTTTTTTTTTTTTCATTTATTTTGACTTGGCAGGAGAGAAGGGCCTGTTTTTTGTTGTTCTAACGTATTCCTTGTTGTTTATTGTAAACATAGTGTAATTTATTTTCCCAGTAAGGATACTTAAATGAATGTAGGGGATTGATGATTTTTGCCCATTTGGATGCTTGGATGTTAAGATGAACTGCATTATAGTAGAGCAATCTCTACTATAGAGACTTAGCTGTTGCTATAGCTATGTACATAAATGTCCTTTGTTGAACTAGCAACTAGTGGGGAGGCCAAAAAAATTACTTTTTATAAAATACTTGTATTTCTTTTTTTTTTTTGAGACAGA